GTCCACCAGCCAAACCCCAGGAAGTGCCTAGAGCTCATATGGCCGCTTTGTACTCAGGAGATCAGGAGTGACGCTGAAAGTCCCACAGTTTATTCTCCTGAGCAATTAAGTTTCAAGAGCTTTGAAGAAAATACTAGCCACGTTTAACAGGAATGTATATGTAGAACCTATGCCAGATTGCACACTGTCCTGGGGAGGGAGGGAGAAAAAAATTTTAAACTCAAAAGAATATGGAAGTGATTGCTGAAAACTAATAATAAATTAATATATATATAAATAAAAAAGATAATTAAGTTTGGCTTGCTAATAAAAAAAAGGAAATACTTGTCTAACACTAACCTGCATGGAGGCAAGGAGGGTAGACTATTGTTCCAACCACAGAAGGTCCCCAAATGGCAATGATAACCCCAACAGGGCTTGTTTCCTAGAATGGTGCTTAGAAACTACATGGACCGGGCTGGAAACTGGGCTGGTGGCCTTGAGGGGCCTGCTCTTCCTTGGGCACCTGGGCTTATCTGCCTGGCCACGGCAGCTGCTAAGTGACTGGCATTGCAGGAGAGGAGGATGACAGGCCCTTTCTTCGGAGGGATTGCTTTGCTCTAGGATGGCTACAAACCAGTGGTCTAGGGGTATGGCTATTTCCGAGCTTCCTGGGCTCAAGGTCAAGAGGCCCATGAGGCTCTGAAGTGAGGTGATTAGGTTCTCCTGATCCATCCAGCTTCCGTCAGGCTGGTGCGCTTGCCCCATGGATGCCACTTGGCACATCGTCCCATTGCCCTTTATGAGACCCACAGTTTTGAGTCCTCAGAGGCTGCGGCATTCCATAATGCACAGCCATGCACTAGCATCACCAGGAGAATGAGGCTATTTTCTAAACAATGGCTTTTGGGGAGAAGCTTGGCATCATTAAAAGTATGCATTTGGGATACTGTGCCAATGTTGGCCACTCACTTCCTCCTACTACATTTTGGAACCTGTTCATTTTCAACCAGAAGTGTGTTTCCTAGAGACAAGGACAGACAGAGCAGGTCTAAGGGCTGTCCATTCAAAGGCCTATCCTGCTCTGGGTTCCATGGAGGTTTCTGTCATCTGCTGAGTCTGTCCTGTGCCCTTCTGAGTTCAATTCCAACAAACATTTGCCGAGGACCAGCTTCATGCCAAGCATATGATTACCAAGCATTCTAGGAAATAACATCTCTTGGTGCCGTGGCACGAACAACAGAAACCACTCCATCAACTCCTTTATTTGCATCCATCTTCTAGTTAGCTGCAACTTCCTTATTTCACTGGATAAAGATTTCCCATCATGAGGAACAACAGTTAGATGAATATCTACAGACAGTTTTAAAACCATGATTCTTCATAAGCACTAGCCTCTTTTCCACCATTCAAAACACATCTCGATGCAGAAATGCAGAAAGCTCATGCAGGACTGGGGACCATTTAGCCTACATCTCTGTCTCACAGGTTGACCAAGCAATGAGCCTTCATGTCCTAAGCGAGATTGGCCCTCAGGAGGCTGTGTCACTGCCTCCAGACTTAACGGCGTGCCAGCAAGGCAGGCTCTTTAAGAGCTTATGTTCTACCGGCAAAACCTTCAAGAACCAGGTCACTTCCACACCCCAATGAGCATCACAGGAAGACTTTTACAAAAGCCCCATTTCAATATTAGTTTTTGTGTAAGAGCTAACAACAGAGCAATACCTTTCTGTTTGGCAGACTTCATAAATGCTTTATTTAGATTCCTTCTAAACAATAACACAACTGATTATTATATTTCTAGTCTACCCTCCAGTCAGCTGTCAAAATGATCAGTCATCCTATTTAATAAGCTCCAGTGGCTCCCCATTATGTCCAAGATCAAATAAGCCCTTTGTGACAGTACTGTGCCCTCCCACCGCTCCAGTCTTCTTATACCTTACTCTTTTCCATGTGCTCTACAATCTGCTGGTCCTCACATACACCGGTCCATTTCTGACTCTGGGAAATGTTCACTGTCTCCTGCTCCTAGAATACTCTCCCCTCCTCACCAGTCTCAGCTAAAATCCCACCCTCTGCAAGAAGCCTTTCCTGACTCCCCTTTAATGCTTATGCTTCCCTCAAGATCATCTAATTTACTGTAAATATCTCATTTGTATGTTGTATTCCCCCATTAGACTGTGAGCTCGTTAAGAACAGGAACTTTTTTGCCTTTCTCTGCATCCCAGGGCTTAGCACAGTGAGTGGCACACAACAGGCACTTAATAAATGCCAGCTGACCACGACAGAAGAGTTCTACGCTGTGGGTTCCCCTTAATGAGAGCATACCTATTACCATACACATGTTTAGCTAATGCAAAAACAAACACACAGAGAAGTAAATCCTCCCAAGAAGGGTGAAATATCATGAGGAACCAAGGAGGGAAGAAAACACACGTTTGTTGTGCGCCAGGCACTGTGCTAAGCACTTCACAAATACCTCTTTCGGTCCTCAAAACAACAGGAGGTAGGTGATATTATAATCCCTATTTCATAGTTGAGGAAACTGAGGCAAACTGAGGGTTAAGGGACCTGTCCAAGGCTACACAGCTAGTAAGTGCCTGAGGCTGATTTGAACTCAGGTTTTCTCGACTCCAGGGACAGAGCTCTATCCACTGGGCCACCTAGCTGCCTTAACAGAAGCATTAACATATCTGAGGAAGCTTCCCACGGGGAAGGCATCAGACTAAAGTGTAAACTGGCAAGGCCAATCAGAAGTGCCAGAACTGTGATCTACATCAGAGATTACAAACCTTTAAAGGTGAAGTACACGGAAGTGAACCTAAACCACGTCACGCTGGTCACAGGATGGAAAATTCATACCTCTCTGAGTGTTTCCAGTATAGTCTTCACAATGGTACTTGTGGCCTGGCGCAGAATGAAGAGAAAAAATGCTATTCTCCATGGGAAAAGATGGGCTGATGCAAGGAACCATATACATTCCAAAATATTTTGGACGTACACACAAGTCCATGATCAGTCATGGGACTACACAGTCCATTACTAGTATACTTTCTATTCTAATAAGCTCTCTGTACATGCGATTTCTCTCATCCTATAATCTATACTTTAAGTATAGTACCCTGCATGGGCCGAAAGGAAAAAAAAGAAAAGGTTGCCAATTTCCAAAAAGTCAGCTTTCACAACATAAGCATTGCAGCCTAAGCATAAGCATCATTACTAAAAAGAAGTCCTATCCACAGTGGTGCCAAACTCCCAATAATCCACCCATAACGATCCTTGTGGGCCACATGCGGACTTAGTTTTAAAATGGCATGTTGTCTATTTTGATCCTATTTTCATTCACTTTGTTGAACATCTCCCAACTACATTATCGTCTGGTTTCGGCTACAGTGGAGGGTTGCTGTGGGCCGTGCCTGCTTTAGAACACAAGTTTCACAAACGTGACTTCTACCTTTGATAAGCTCCCCCTCTCTGGGAGCCATTCCTGCCAAAGGGATCACCCCTAAAAACAACATGCAGAGAAGTTAGAAAGAAGAAGACACTAAGCTCTGAGGAAACAAGTCTAACTGCAAAGAGCTGGCATAAACCAGAATAGACTAATCTCACATGGGGGAAGAAGGGAAGAGGGAAGGAGACGGGCCCAAGGACAGGAAGAGGAAGAGAACAAGGCGGAGAGAGCCCTGGGAAATGTCTGCAAGCTGAGTCCTTTCTGAGCCTAAGAAAGCAGAAAGCCAGGACTGGTACTGACAGTGAGGTTCCATATTTGTGAAACGGTGTTCTCCCTTCGCAAGACAACAATCCCGGACTCCAGGATTTCTTCAAGGTTAGTACCTAATGCAGGCCTGAGGTTTTTAAGTCTCCCTACTGAAATTTCACCTTTTTATTTAAATCCCTTCTACCTTACCACAGTTAAGCAGCTTTATTTATCAAGCGTGTAGCTTGATCATTCAACCTCTTGTTAGCTGAGAAAAATGACAATGCTCTGAATTAGCAGAGATTATGTTCGTTTTATCCCAGCAGGAGGCTAGCTTTTGATGTGAGGCATCAAACTCGTGCATTTTCAGAGCCTCTTACACAGACCTGGGCTAGTCAGCTGAGCATCTCTGTTAAGGACACACAGCACATGCTCAACTTGCCAAAAACAAACCCAAGATTTATTTTCTTCCAAAGGCATACATCTGAAAAGGACCTGAATCTGTTTAATTTCATATCACCTACATAAGCCGATCCTGCCAGCACTGCACTGGCACAGAGCCAAAACAGAAGGGCCACCACAGGCGGAAGAGGGCAGAGGCAGGAGGAGACGGAGCGGAGGACCACAACCAAAACAGGGCCAATGCAGCACTCGGGGAAGGAAGACGACTGCTCCGGCTCCAGCGGCTCACAGCTTTGCCCTGTCTTCTTCTCTGGTTAGCCATTTCTCTTAATAAACTGCTATTTAATAAGTGCTGGATTGCTATTAATAATAATAAAATCGCTATTTAAGACTATCATTCTTACTAAATCAGAGCATCTAAAGACAATCTCCTGCCTGACAATGCTAAACAGCACAGAAGACACCAGAGGGGGGTGGGGTAGGTATCCCTGGACAAGCAGCAACATTTTTTTTTTACTTTAATCACTCTACGTAGTAGGGCAGCAGGCTGCTTTCCTATCAAAACTACTTTTCTAGTAATACCAATGTCCTTGCTTATTCAACAGCAAAGGTCTTAAGGGGGATGGAAATCCAAACCATAGAAGAAAACGCAGTGAATAATGAATGGCATCGCTGCCTGATGCCACAATGCTCAGAAATAAGTGGAAGAAGTAATTTGTGCCTGCAACAGCACAGCAATTAATGACTGGTCACCCTTCAAAAGTATAACAAAAACCAGACGAAGGAAAAGGATCCATCTGTGTGTGGCTTTGTCAGTGAAAGAGAATGAAATCCAACCAAAAAGCTGGGCTGACCATGTACAGCCTCCCCCCTCTGCGAGCCCCGGGCTGACTCGAAGCCGCTCGGTCCCAAATGCTCTTACCTGTGAGGACAGCTTTCGCCGAAGGGTCTGCCAGGTCCAGGGCCGATTTGCCATCAGTGTTGCGAATGTTTGGATCAGCTCCGTGCTGCAGCAGAACTGTGCAGGGAAAGCAGAAACAGTCTCTTACCTCAGGGACACACACGCTATGGACTGTTAAGTGTCTCCTCGGCATGGTGTGGGCAAACACATACATTGCACAATCTTCTGCTTTCCCTCTTTCTCTGTGTTACAAAAAGCACTGCAGCAGACATTCCTCTCTAGAGTAAAGCTAAGTTGGCCACTTCAGGTCCAGTGAGATCACGTGACTCGCCATGGCAAACACCAAGGCAGGAGATGCTGCTACGCCCGCCTCGGCTCCCTCACCTCCACAAGCTGGACGGGCTGTGCTGTACAACCTGACTCATGCTGTGAAGCCTGCTCCCAGGGAGCCGGCTCCAGCTGCTTCACTACCTCTGTGGAAGCTTCGTTAGTGATCAATTTCCAAACACTTCCTCCCTCCCCCCACCCCACCCAGAACAGCCGTAGCGTGGAACAAGCTTTTCTGTGGTTCACGGCTCGCACGTGGAACTTGATATAACACGCTGGCCTGCATCCAAGAAGTTTAACAGACAGAGAACTAGATGCTTCCCAGGCCCCTGCAGCCCGGCTGCAAAAGGGTGGCTGCCTTTTCAAATATTCTTTCCTTCCAAAATGTTTGTGTACAAAATCCAATTACTGTAAAGAATACTAAAGAGCCTGCTGCTCAACTGCCCACCCAATGGAAACCCACTACGGGAAGCTGTTAGATGTGGAGGTGCCTCTAAAAACAAGTCAAGTAAAATCCAGACGTACCCTCTTATCTCTTAACAAGCAACGGTTCTTTCTGTCTGAAAAGAAGTTATCACAGGCCACCTTAAGGAAGACACAGTTCAATCACAAAGAGAAATGAAGACAAATTGTTATTACTGCTAGTAGGAATAAGAGTAACTCCCGTTTGAAGATCAGTCAAGCGCTTCATTTACATTCATTCGATCACAACAGCCTCGTGACTGTTAGATAACTATCCCCTTAATTTTATAGGCGAGGAACCTGACAATCAGAATGCAGCTGTCTTACAGCAAGTATCTAAGACCAAATCCAGCTCCAAGTCTTGCTGACTCCAAATTTCACGCTCTATTTATTATTCTACCTTGCCTCTCTTGGTGGGGATAGCTCGGTCAGTTAAAACAAGACAATCGTGGGAGTCTTTTGGATGAGAAACAAGAGAATTTACCATTTCCACTGTACTTTAAAGCATTAGATTCAAACAAAGCAGAAAGTTTACTACCTACTGACAAATTCAATCACTAATAAAAGGAGAAAATTTTGGTCCTCTCCTAACATTCCAAGAGCTGTGAGCTAGGGCTACCCCAAGTTTTTTTCATCAACACCACCATTCCAAAACACCACCTCCCCTCTAACGGCATCCAGACAATAATCTTCAAGGATTATCAGATGTCAAGAATTTAGGCACTGGAGAAAAACAGCTCCTTTTCTTAAATATTACAAAGCTCAATGCATGTACACAGACAGAGCTGAACATAGCAAGGGCTCCCTAAGTATCATTAAGTCTTTGAATATATGAATGTTCATCTCAAATATCTGTTCTTGAATCTGCATGAAGAGGGATGTTGAGGTAGGACACTAAGCCCTTCCGTATGCGATGTGAAACCAACGGGATGTGTAACTTTGGCTGGCAGCACCCACGAGACAGCCGTGGCCAACACAGGCACAGAGGGGGCATACCAGCTCACTCTTGCCAAGCACATCAGTATCCTTTTCCAGACAGGTAATGTAAGCAAACCCAACACACAATAAAGAACCTGAGATTAAGCTACTAAGTCTGTACCACAAGGAGAGCAAAGGAAAAAGGAAAGGACCCATATATACAACAACATTTACAGCAGCTAGCTCTTTCTATGGTGACAAAGAACTGACAACTGAGGAGAGGCCCATCTACTGGGGAATGGCTGAATGGCGTGATTGTGATGGAAGATTGTGCTATAAGAAATGACAAGCAGGATGTTCTCAGAAAAACCCAGGAAGACCTATATAAACTGATGAAAACAAAGTGAGCACAACCAGAAGAACAATGAATACAGTAACAGCAATATTGTATGATAACCTACGAAAGACTTACTAGTAACTCTGATCAACAGAGCGACCCATCACAACTCCAAGGGACTCATGGCAAAAATGCTACTGTCCATTTCCAAATGGAGAGCTGATGGACTTAGACTGAAGACGGATGCGTATTTTTTCCTTTATTTTTTTGCTCCCTTCCCCCTAAACAGGACTAATAAAGATGTTTTGCAGGACTTTATATGGATAAGGAGTCCCATATTTCTTGACTTCTCAATGGGTGAGGGAGGGGTAGAGAAAGGGAGCAAATTCGTAACTGAAAATAAATTATATTTTTAAAAAAGAACTTTAGAATAGTTCTTTAAATTACTTAGCTAAGTCTTATTAAATGCCTGAACAATCGTAATTTTTCTTTTGCTACTAAAAAAGCACATAACTAGGATAAGTTGCCAATGAAGTTAATCTTGTTAACAGGTCTTGTACTTGGGCTCAACAAAATCACCTCTACGACTGTAAGATGGGTCAGTCCTGGATGGGCAGCAACTACTCTGAAAAGGATCTTGGGGTCTGAGTGGACTGCAAGCTCAAGGAGTCGGCTGTGTGATGCCACAGCCCACAAAGCTCATGCACACTGGGGCTGCAGAGAAGAACACAGGGGTCGGGAACAGAGAGATCCTCCTATGCTTCACCCTTGCTGGACCTCCACTGGAGGCCTGGGTTCAGCTCTGGACACCTTGGACATGACATAAAGGACACTGATCAGTGGGAGAGCACCCAGGAGAGCAACCATAACGACGATCAGTTGAAGGAACGGCACACACCGAGCCTGCAGAAGAGAAGACGAGGGGGAACCAAGAGCTGTCTTCATGCCGTTCACTACATGAAGCCTTTGAAGGACTGTTCAGGAAGTGGGGCCGAACGAGCTCTGCAGGGCTCCAGGCAGAAAGGCCAACGTGGGCTTGATGCCAGCAGTGACACCCTGACCGCGACAGCTGTCTGCGCCTGGCCCAGGCTGCCTCAGGCAGTGGCGGGCTCCTCCAGCACACGCGGGCTGGCTGTCATAGGTGGGGGACTCCTCTGCGAGGAAGGTCCAAGGTCCTCTCTAGTTCTCCAATTTTGTCATTCTGTGATAAAACGAAAAGCACAGGACCCAAAGGAAGGTATACACTTTCCTTTCCTCATCAGTGAAATGAACAGGGTAACATCTAAGTCATCTGCCATCTCTTAGAATTCTGTATATTCATCACGGATTGAACAGGCAGAGCGAGCCTTTCCAACGTACACTTTTCCCCCTGAAAATAACAGAAACCCCATTCTTGTGTCTAGCAAACGTTACTACCCAGGACATTAGACTCTGCCCCCAGCCCCCTCCCCATCCCCACCGAGTAGTGTGTGCCCCGGAGGGCAGCTGTTGTCTAAAAATCAATTCCTCCGAAAGGGGAAGATGCTCACTGAACAGCATCTGCTCCCAGGACACTCTCAGAAAGTCCCCACAGCTCAACTGAACAGACAAATAAACACTGTTCCTCGACCTTTTCCAACACAGAATCAATGCCATAATGGGCCAGAGAGGGAAGAAGAAACCTGTTTCACTTCAGTGCCATTTTAAAAACAAAAACAAACCACGGGGAGCTAAGCCAGGCAAGGCAGGGCAGGACAGACTACCTCAATGAAGTCCTGCCAATGGATCTCCCAAGAGCAGACACTTCAAGCACCTTCCTCCTTCTCTCCATCCGGAGAAATAGCAATTTTGCCCAAAACCTTCCCAGAACAGCAGCAGGACACAGGCTCCAAGACACCTGTCAGGCATCGAGGACAGAAAGGTGCACCTGCTTTCTGTTCAGGCAGATCAAGAACAGACACTGATTCGACTCTCCTGAGCCTGGAAAGGGAGGCAATGACAACTGCTAACTACTCTGACTTATCACTGGTGCCTAAAAAGATACTTCAGCTGCCATAATCGGGCCACATTCGATTCCTTAGTACCACAAACTAGCCACATGGCTTGGGAGACCTGTCACTTCATCGCCACGAGGCTCAGTTACAAGGAGGTCTCACTGTGTACCCCTAAGATCTTGTGAAACTCCTGCTAATGCTTTAAGACACCCAAGAAGCCTCAAAGGTCAGATTTACAGAATTTGGAGACCAGGGTCTCACTGCTGTATGTCCACCACAGTCTGCCAGAGTCTTTCAAAGTTGGAAGGGACTGTTGAGGCCATCGAATCTAACGCCCTCCTCCCAGAATGAACAGGAAACCCCAAGGACACAGTCCAAATCAAATGGCCAACTGATCTTTGCTAAAAGACCTCAAAGTGAAGGGAAAGCCATCTCTCTCCCTTTGCCTTTGCGGACAGCTCTAATTGTTCAGAATTTTTTCCTAACATCAAGATGAAATTGGTTTCCGCAATTTCTACCCAATGCTCCTTTTTCTTTCCTCAAGGATCAGAAAGAACGAAAGAAAGAAAGAAAGAAAGAAAGAAAGAAAGAAAGAAAGAAAGAAAGAAAGAAAAACCAAGGCAACCCTTTTAATACTAGAAGACAGCTATCAATCCCTTGGCCTTCCCCCATCCCCCAGTGCCAAAACTGTTCTTTTCCTAACTAAAAATATACTCATTTCCTTCAACTGTACTACTTATGGCATATGCCTTATACACAGACTATAAGGAAAATTAAGTGCTCCAGAATCGATGTTTTTAAATTGTGGTGCTAGAGAAGACTTTTAAGAGTCCCTTGGACAGCAAAGAGATTAAATCAGTCAATACTTAAAGAAATTAACTCAGAATACTCATTGGAAGGACAAATACTGAAGCTTAAATACTTTGGCCACATAATAAAAAGTGGGACCAGGGGCAGCTAGGTGGCACAGTGGATAGAGCTGTGGCCTTGGAGTCAGGAGGACGTGAGTTCAAATCCAGTCTCAGACACATGACACTTACTAGCTGTGTGACCCTGGGCAAATCGCTTAACCCAATTGCCTCTTTTAAAGCAAAAAAAAA